CGGGGTATAGACTACTTCATGGGTAAGGAGTTGTAAGATTKTCCTTATCAGAGTCAAAATGAGAAAGGTAAGGAGAATATAATGTTTGGTACAGATGATTTATCTTATTTCGGCTTTCTTCCTTTTCCTCCTTCTCCTCCTCCCCCCTTCCTCCTCCCCCTCTTCCCTATCTCCTCCTCCTCCTCTTTCTTCACTAGAGACTGAATCCAGTCTCTAGTATAGACCTACAACCCCAACCCTTTGTGGTTTATTTAATTTATTTTTAAATAAATTATTTATTTTAAATTTAGAGGCAGGGTCTTGCTGAGTTGCCCAGGCTGTCCTTGAACTTGTGATCCTCCTGCCTCAGTCTCCTAAGTAGCTGCTATTACACGTGTGTATCACTATACCCAGGGATATATTTAAAATTCTCTAACATTCCAATAAAATTCCCAATTTATGGGGCTACTGGCAGGTGATAGTTCCTAAAACTTCTTCCAACACTGACTCAATGTTTATGGGCGCTGRAAATTATCATAGTGATGTGAAATCATGAAAGAATCTTAAATTTAGAAAAAATAAAGTAAGGGAAAAATTATAAATATATTTTGCTCTATTGAATGGGATGTGAATGGGGAAAGGGAATGGTCAAAATCTCTGAGACTGTGAGCTGGGGAGTTGAGGGGGTGTGGGGTGCTAGTTTCCACTGGGAAATCATATTTGAGCTCATCCTAATAGCTCCTCATGATTTTCCAGGCAGAGTATCCAGGGGGTGAACAATAGTGAGTCCTTGGTGTGGAATAATACAATGCATAGACTGTGAATAAGTCCTAGGATCATGTGGAAACTACCTTCTGAGAAAGGCAAGGCCAAGATACTGGCTTCCAATATTCAACCTTGTGGCCCATCCAATCCCTACCCCCCCTACCCCTTGTAGATCTGAGAATTCAGTTAAGGGTTCTRGACAGCTGATCTGTGAGTGAGGGATGGAGGCCAGGGATGGAGAGGCGCAGCCTCAGAATGTGCTTTATGTTTATATTGGGAAGAAAAGGAATGTAATACATGTAGGAGAACAAAAGTTTTTAGTTGGATAAAAATTTAGAGATCATTCAGTTACAGAAAGCAGGTATGCACCATAGATTTGAATGAGTAGAAGGCAGAATTAGGTAGCTGACAGGCTGAATTTGAAGTGAGGAAAACCAAGAAGAAGGAGAACTTGAATACTGAAATGGTTCTACTAAAGCAAGATCATCYATACAAGTGTTCTCCCAGAAAAATTTCTTTGCCATCTTAGAAAAAATATCCGCGTTAAGTCTCAGGTTGAGAAAAGCTTAAGTTGTGATGGATGAGGTGGCCCATGAGTATAGTCCCAGTGACTTGGGAGCTTGAGACAAGTGGAGCTCAAGTTCAAGCCCAGACTGGACAATTTAGCAAAGCCATGACTCAAAATAAAAATTAGAGGGGCTGGGGATGTGGCTCAAGCGGTAGCGTGCTCGCCTGGCATGCGTGCGGCCCGGGTTCGATCCTCAGCACCACATACCAACAAAGATGTTGTGTCCGCAGAGAACTAAAAAAAAAATATTTAAAAAAAATTCTCTCTCTCTCCTCTCTCACTCTCTCTTAAAAAAAAAAAAAAGAATCTTAAAAATTAGGAGCTGGAGTTTTGGCTCAGTGATAGAGCACTTGCCTAGCACTTGAGGGGAGCACCACATAAAAATAAAATAAAGGTATTGTGTCCATCTATAACTAAAACAAAATATTTTAAAAAATTAATAAAGAGGATGGGGGATATAGGTTAGTAATAGAATGCCTCTGTTTCCTGGGTTTAATCCCTAGTACTACAAAATAAATAAATAAACTAATTAATTAATTGAAGGAATAGATTTTGGTATAAGGGGAGGAGAATATGGTCTGAGTTTAGGAGAAAGTTTACTGTAGAGAAAATAGTAAGTGAAGTTAGTTTAGATAAAATTAAAGGATCCTGGAGAAAAAAGAAATAATAAACTTGAAATGCAGAAAGAGAATTCTGAGTGTCCTGTCTTTGGTAACTATTTTCCTTGATGCAAGTACTCCTCTTTACTGCAAATACTTTAATTTTTCCATCTGGAAAATTCTGATGTTTTGTTTTACATCAAAATTTATGTCTGGGACGTCTTCCTGATCTCCACATCCAGCCTGTGTTTTGTTTACTATGCTTCCAACACCTACTGCATGTTAAAATTAGCATTTAGCTTACTGAATTTTAAAATTCATTTAACAAATATTTATTGAACTATTATTAATTTTTCAGATATGGCTCTTAGTGCCTAAGATATACCCATGAACAAAATATAAAAAAAATATTTTGCTCTCAGAATTTTTCTCAGAGGACAAAAACAATAATAGGGGTAAAAATATACATATTTTACATACTAGAAGTTCATAAGTCCTATGAAAAATTAAAAGATGAGTAGGGACAGGTGATGGCAATCTAAGATATGGATGTTGGAATGAAGGAAAAGTACAGTCTTACATTGGGTGGCCAGGTAAGGCCAGTGAGATGCTGAGATTTGAGTCAATTATTGGAACAGATGTTAGAAATGACAGTGACTCAAACTAAGGTGGTATGAAATCATCAGATCCTGGAAATATGAAAGAAATAAAAATGATGACTAGGAGAATTTGGGCCCGTTAACTGAAAGATTGCAATTGCCATCATCTGGGATGGAGAAGCTCTAGGTGAAGCACATATAGGGGAAGTGTCAAGATGGCACTTAGGCACCYGTGGAGATGTGACTAAGCCCCCAAATATATGATTTTGAAGTAGGGGAGAGAATTTGACTGAGAAATGAATTCAGAATTCTGCAGCACTTATCTGGTACCTAAAGCCATGCCATTGGATGATATTGACAAAGGTGTTTAAGGAGAAAAAAGAACATGCACTGACCTTTGTTAACTGTAAGGCTAAAAAGATAGAGCATTAGAAGGGAGACCAATAAAGTCAATAAGGAGGGAAGAAGAAGGAACAGGAAATGGAGTTAGTGATCAAATGATGTTATGAACATGTATGAATCRGTCGTAATGAATCCTATTATATGTCATGCACCAAGAAAAGCTATAAAAAATAGGATGAAGAGGAAGAACTAACAAAAAAGGAGAAGGGGTGATTTGTAACATGGGAAGAAACCAGAAGTGCAATCCCCAAGAACTACGTGAAGACAGGGTATCAAGAGGCTCAAGGATAGATTAACTTTGTCCAAGACTATTCATGGCCCATTGCACTCAGGAATGAAGAGTAAACAATGAATTTAGCAGATTTTAGGTAACTGGTGTCTATGAGAAGGGACATTTTGATGGAGTGGTAAAAGTCTAATTAGAATGTGTTTTGGAAGAAACTGTAAGAGAGAGATTAGAGGCGATGAGTACAGGCAACTTTGGAGGGGTTTTGTTCTGGGATAGGGGAAGAACTGCAGCACTGACCGTGACAGAAGTTAACAGGAAGAAGGTGGGGACTTGTTTGTTTTGTTGTTGTTGTTTAATAAGTGTAATAGCATATTTGTATACTGATGGGATGTCCAGTAAAGTTCTCCCTAGCAATTGGTTGTTTCTCCGTTTTCCTCTATATTAGTTTTCTTTGTACAACATTGCAACTCTCGTAAATAACAACACATTGTAGTTTTGCAAAATGCTAAGAGAATCAATGTTAAATGTTCTCACCAAAAAAAGGTATGGTAATGCATATGTTAATTAAGTATCTGTAGTCATTCTTCATTATATAAATAGTCCAAAATTATGATAAATAATGTAGTGATCATGATGCAATGTTGTGCRTAATATATAGGCACAATTTTGTGTGTCAATTAAAAATAACAAAAAAATTAAAAAAAAAAACAGGAATAGTAGTTTCTTAGCATCAGATGTGAAATTTTATTTGTTTAATCTGTATTCTAAGTTTAAGATCAAGAAAATGTTTAATAGGTTTTTTTTGTTCCATTGATGTCAATATAGTAGGTTATAAGTATTTTTCATTTTCAAATCAAAGGGTATTTGAGATTGGTGGAGGTGAAAAGCAATAAGAAGGATTGGGAAAGAAACCAGATTGTTTTTTAATTACTTATTTAGTTATTTATTATTTTGTACTGTGGGTTGAACCCAGAGGTCCTTCACCACTGAGCTATATCTCCAGTGCTTTTTATTTTTTTCACATAGGGTCTTGCTAAGTTGCTCAGACTAACCTTGAACTCATGATCCTCTCTGTCAGCCTCCATATACTTGTACCACCTCACCCCCCCTTGCAGAAAGTGGTTACTTTAGAGTATCAATCCAAAGAGATTCACCTCCTTTCTGGACCTCTTATATTTACTCAAACTCCCTTAGTCTCAACTGGGATTTTCACCAGTGTCCAAAAGAGGGCTAAAATTCTGACCTACACGTTCCTAAAAGATGATGTTAGATCTGAGTTTCCATGACAAAGTGAGAGATAGAAGGGGATACAAGTATTGACTCTTCAGTAGTCAGAAAGTCCAAGAAGACAGTAAGTTGGAATCAGAAATCAGAGCATGTAATTTATATTATGTATCCTTGGTCTAAATATGTTAGCAATATTTTATCATTATGAGTGATGATTTATACCTTAGACAAGGAATAGACAAGGTGAATAGACAAGTCATGTGAATAGAGAAGGAATAGAGAAGTAATATAAATGGTAACGTGTACTTCAGACAAGGACTACTGAAATTTCTAAAACCTATGCTGATTTCATTAAACAAAACAGTTTGGTCATAGGATGAACTATGAGGACAGCATTGGGCTGTGTCATTCACAAAAGGCATTTTAAGTCTAATTATAAGGGTGGATACTCTGGAAGGAGGTTGGTGGCTGGATGCGTAGAGAGTCGTGGAATGGAAATGCTGGATCCTCAAGGTATTTACTCGGGGGGCTTTACTCTGGGGGTGGGAAAAGAGTACTTTCTGAGTGACCTTGCTAAGACTTCTATGGCTTAGGTTTCTTCTTCATCCTTACATATTTCACATTATAGGGACATGAATGGTGAAGAATGGACACTGGAAACTGGAGCCAGGTCACAGAATTCATCATCCTGGGCTTCCCTAATCTCCAGGGTGTACAGACTTACCTCTTTTCCTTGTTGCTTGTCATTTACCTCATTACCATACTGGGAAACCTGCTGATATTCTTGGTGGTCTACCTGGACTCCCGGCTCCACACACCCATGTACCGTTTTGTCAGCATTCTCTCCTTTCTGGAGCTGGGCTATACAGCTGCCACTATYCCCAAGATGCTGGCAAACTTGCTCAGTGAGAAGAAGACCATTTCATTCTCCGGATGCCTCCTACAGATCTATTTCTTTCACTCCCTTGGAGCTACTGAGTGCTACCTCCTGACGGCTATGGCTTATGATAGGTACTTGGCCATATGCAAGCCCCTCCACTATCCTACCCTCATGACCCAAACCCTGTGCACCAAGGTTGCTCTTGGCTGTTGGTTGGGAGGCTTGGCTGGGCCAGTGGCCGAGATTTCCCTGGTTTCTCGCCTCCCTTTCTGTGGCCCCAATCACATTCAACATATCTTTTGTGATTTTCCTCCTGTACTGAGTTTGGCTTGCACGGACACCTCCATCAATGTCCTGGTGGATTTTGTGATAAACTCCTGCAAGATCCTGGCCACCTTTCTGCTGATCCTCAGCTCCTATGTACAGATCATCTGCACTGTGCTCAGGATTCCCTCAGCCGCTGGGAAGAGGAAGGCCTTCTCCACGTGTGCCTCGCACCTCACCGTGGTCCTCRTCTTCTATGGGAGCATCCTCTTCATGTATGTGCGGCTGAAGAAGAGCTACTCGTTGGACTATGACCGCGCCCTGGCGGTGGTCTACTCAGTGATCACCCCTTTCCTCAACCCCTTCATCTATAGCTTACGCAACAAGGAGATCAAGGAGGCCCTGAAGAGGCAGATGAGGAGAGTAGGGAACTTGAGGTGAATAGAGAAGTTGGAGAAGATCCAAGCTGGTGTTAATGTTTTGGATCCAAGAAAGTCTCCTGAAAAACTAAGTTGTTAGCAATGCACCAATGTTCAGAGGTGAAAAGATTGGATTATGAGAGTTGTAACCTAATCAGKGGATTAATTCATTTGATGGATTAATAATCTGAATGGACTACTGGGTGGCAACTGTAGGCAARTGCGGTGTAGCTCAAGGAAGTAGGTCACTGGGGACATGTTTTGGGCGACCATATCTTGTCCCTGGCTTTTTTCTTTGCTTCCTGATTGCSRTGAGCTGAATAGCTTTTCTTTGCCACTCTGTTYCACCAGGACGTGTTGCTTCATYTCAGGCACAGAGGTATGGWGGTGCGTGACCATGGACTGAGCCCCTGATAAACTTTTCCTCCTCCAAGTTGTTCCTGTCAGGTATTTTGATCATAGCTACAAAAAGATGACTAACACAGCTAGAGATGAGAATGTGGTGACCGTAGGGTGTTAYCAGCAGATGAAAATGTGAAATTGGACATTCCTTGCTTTTCTCTTTTTGGGGGGTACTGGGGATTGAACTCAAGGGCACTTGACCACTGAGCCACATCCCTAACCCTATTTTGTATTTTATTAGAGATAGGGTCTCACAGAGTTGCTTAGCACTTCACTAAATTGCTGAGGCTGGTTTTGAACTCRTAATCCTCCTGCCTCAGCCTGCTGAGTCACTGGGATTACTTGAGTGTGCCACTGCACCTGGCTACCATTCCTTGCTTTTCTATATGGGAGAATGAGCTGGAAAAGATCTGCCTGGTTTTCTGCATTACAATCACCATTATGCTATCTACTAGAACCACATTCAACACACTTTATCTAAAAAGTGTGTCTGAAATGATACACTGTCTGAACAAGATGTAATGCAGTAATTTTCAAAGCTCAAATGTTTGTGAACCATATTTATKATTTTGGTCAAATTTGTGTCCATATATATGCATGTATATAATTTGAATTCATATTCAAATATATAATATGTATTCAAATTAATTAATAAAATATATTTAAATATATAATGTATATTAAATTTACTTGATTTTATATAACTATGTATAATATTCAAATACATAATAGGTAAGATTGGCTTGATTTAATATAATTAGATATTGTATATTCAAATTTATAATATATCAATTTCTTTTTATTTATTTTTTAAATATTTATTTTTTGGTTGGACATAATATCTTTAGTTCACATATTTATTTTTATGTGGTGCTGAGGATCTAACCCAGGGTCTCGCACGTGAGAGGAGAATGCTCTACCTTGGGGCACAATCCCAGCCCCAATATATATATATATATATATATATTTAAATTGATATGATTTAATATAAATCCATTTGGTCATGTCCTAAACAATATTTGTTAAATAAAATTTAGAGCAAAAATAAATGAGTATTCACATACCACTTTAAATGATTTCATACAGAAAACATAGTAAAACATGTTTTTTTGAAATCACATATAGATATRTGTGATGAGTTTAGATCCTAGTTCATTTAGTCACTTTTCAGTTAATTGAAATCTAGAAGGTAAATCAACCTGAGGCTTAATTTCATAATTTGATAGTCATTTTCTTTCTAGGTTGCTTTACAATTAATAGTAAAATCTGTCAACAACAGTGCCTGGCATATGGCCGTTAATAAAAAAACAAACAAAAATCTTCCTTATTTTTATTTCTTTTTTTCTGCCCAGGCCTCTTATCTTTTTCTGAGTCTCAGAAAAATATCCAGTAAAATATAAATAAGCAAAAATATTCCCAGGTACTATTTCTCCAGGAAAGAATTAAACCAGCCAGAGAGAATGCTTGTGAGAGGGGTATTACTCTGTCCTAATCTGTTCTGGTGAATTGAATGTGTCATTCTTAGGGGTCCTAATATCTATGCACCCGATAAAGCATGAAAGTGTAGGAGTTGAAACAGTGGCAGAAATTAAGTTTACTCTTTACACGGGATCACATTTTTATTTAACTTTATGCTTATCATTTCCAATAATATGTAAAAAAAAMCCCTAAAATTTAGCACATAGGAATCTGGGGATTTAATTATTCACTAGTATTAGGACAGTTTGTGCATGGGAATATTATTTGGGAGCAGAAGATCATAACTGAGCTATAAGAAGACTTCCAGTTCCATTGATCTTTTAATGAGATCTCCAAATAATTTTATTTCTGCTGCCTTAAAGATATCCATCCATCCATTCTTCTTTTCTTTCAACCTGTGTGTTTAGATTCACTGTTTTTCAGATACAATGGTAAGCCCAAAACAATGTGATGAGCAAAAGAAATACTCTCTAGCTCCTGCCCTTAGGGTACCCTTAAAAATAGTCGAGGATGTAGACTTTGAAATGACAATTGATGATTAGTTCTGCTTGATTATCTATACAGTTGTGGTAACTGATAATAAGATAAGCATGCATTCTTTTCTTGAGTACATTACATCTACTCTGAAAACTGGRTAAGTTGATTAGTCATTTATGAAAGCAAACGTAGCAATTATTACGTCTATTTTACCAAGTTGGATGGTTGGCACAACCTRCAAAAACCAGGGACCAAGGCCAGGACAGGGACTCCCAAGAAGGGAGCAGAGAATTTATCCCCCTAGGCTCTTTAAACCGTATAGAGAAGGAAAGGAAAAAAGAAAAAGAGATGGAAGTAACAGAAAGATGATTGATTATGGCTCTGGAAACAAATAGGTAGTGGCAGCCAGGTTGTGGATTCCTGAGGAGCTGCAAAAGCAGGTGAGAAAAATTAGTGTTACCTCCAAGAAAGTGAAAGACAACACACAGAATGGGAGGAAACATTTGCAAACATCTAATAAGGGACTAAGTCCAGTATACACACACACACACACACACACACACACACATACACACACACATACACACACACATACATATATACACATATATACATATACATACTGGACTCTCTCTCTCTCTCTATATATATATATACATATATATATATATATATATATATACGTATATATATATATATATAAAGCTTTCTTATGACTCAGAAATAAAATGTCAAATGTCAAATAGCCCATTACATATAGACAATTAATCTGAACAGATATTTCTTTCAAGAAAATATTCATGGGCAAAAAGTGGAAAGTATTTTCTCTAAGATCTGGACCAAGATAAGGATGCCCCACCCCCCAACATCCCTCTTAACTCAATATAGTACTGGGAGTCCTAAGCAGAGCATTAGGCAAGAGAAAGAAATAAAGGAGGAAGTCAGACTGTCCCTGTTTGCAGATGGCATGATCTTCTATAGAGAAAAATCTAAAGATTCCACAAAAAACTTGTTAGAACTGATAAATTTATTAAAGTTGTAGGATACAAAACTAACGTGTAAGAATTAAGTGGTCCTATCCAACAAAAAGAAGCTGTAAAACAAACCAAGAAACCAAATCTATTGATAAYAGTTGCAAAAACAAAACAAAAACAAACAAAAAACCTTGAAAATAACTTAGCCAAGATATTGAAATATCTCTACAATGTGAACTAAAACAATGAAGAARGAAACTGAAGAGGACCTCAAAGTGGAAAGATGATCTGTGTTCCTGGGTTGGTCGAATTAATGTTAAAATGTTCACCCAACACAAAGCAATCTATATATTTAATGCATTCCCTACCAAAATACAATTGACATTCTTTGCAGAAATTTAAAAAATGTAAAATTCATATGTTACTACATTAGACCCTGAATAGCCAAAACAATTCAGAGCAAAACAAAACAAAGCTCGAGGTATTATGATGCCTGACTTCACAACATACTTTGAAGCTATAATAACCCAAAACACACAAGAATAGACATATAGACAATAGAAGAGAATAAGGAAGCCAGAGATAAAGCCATATATATTTGCAGCCAAATGATTTGACAAAGTTACCAAGAACATACATTGGAGAAAGAACTGTCTACTCAGTAGATGGTGATGGGAAAGCTAGATATCTATATGCAGAATGAAACTAGATCCCTCTCTTTCATCATATTGAAACATTAATTCATCATATTAAAACATCCATTCAAAATAAATCAAAGACTTAAATGCAAGACCTGAAACTATGAGACTACTAGAAGAAACAGAGGGCAGAGACACTTCAGGACACTGACATATGTAAGGATTTAYTGACATTTTAAATTACTTTATTTCAAATTTAAAAACATATGCACCACAGAAAACAAGATATCAACCCAGTTAGAATGGCTATTATCAAAAAGCAAAAAACCTTAGCAATAGCTGAAAATACAGAGGAATGAGAACTGTTACACACTGTCACTGTAGAATGTAAATGAGTCTAGTCATTATGGAAATCAGTATGGAGGTTCCATTAAATACTTAAAATAGGAATTCTGTATGATCCAGCAATCCTAGTACTGGGAATATATTCAAAAGAAAGGAAATCCTTATCTTGCCCTATATTTATAATTTGAAAAAAAAACTGCACTCCCATGTTTATTGCAGCAATATTCAAAAGTGGTAATACACACAATCACTAGAGGTGTTCATCTATGGATGAATAGATAATGTGGTTGACATATATGTGTGTATATGTACATATGTATGTATCACCTCATAAATATATGCAATTCTTATACATCAGTTAGAAATAAAAATAGAAAAGAGGGCTGGGGATATAGCTCAGCTGGTAGAGCGCTTGCCTTGCATGCACCAGCCCTCCAGGGGTTCAATCCCTAGCGCCCCCCCTCCCCACAAAAAGAAAAGAATATATGCAAATAGCCAATATGCACACAAAAAATGCTGGGCATAATTTATCAGAGAAATACAAGTCAAAACAACAATGAAAGAACACTACACATCCACTAGAATTGCTGGAATAAAAAGGCCAAATCACCACATATACTATTGAGGATATAGAAAATTAGACCCCTCACCCACTGCTGGTACAGGCAAGGTGGTAGAGCCACTTTGAAAATCATCTGCAAGTTCCTCAGACTATTAAATATAGAGTTATCAAATGATCCAGAAATTCTACCTTAGGTATGTGCCTAAAAAAATGAAAATATATATCCACACAAAAGCTTATACATGAATGTTTATAGCATCATTATTTACAGTAGTGCAACCCAATTGTCCATCAAGGCAAGATCAGATAAGCAAACTATGTTTATTCATTAATAAATGAATTGAAGAAGATAAAAATATAAAATGATGTGTTCATATACATATATATTTATTTATACATACATATTTGTTAATTTATATTTACATATATATAAATATATAGCAGAACCTGGCAATGGGAATATGTGTGCCATAATAAACTATGGTCCAGTTCTTTTTATTTTTTTGAGATAAGGTCTCAGTTGCTTAGAGTCTTATGAAATTGCTGAGGCTGGGCTCCAACTTGTTATACTCCTGCCTCATCCTGCAGAATTTCTAGGATTACAGGTATGCACCATCATACCTAGTAAGAAAGAATTAATATTGCTAAATGTTCATATTACCCAATTTGATCTACAAATTCCATGTAAATCCTATCAAAATCCCAGTGGCATTGTTCACAAAAACAGAAAAATCCCTCTTAAAATTTGTATAGACCATGAAAGATGCTGAATAGCCAAAGTAATCTTGAACACAAAGCTTGAAACATCACACTGCCCAATTTCAAAATATACTACAAACCTATTATAATTCATATAGCATAGTAGTGACATATCATGTGGAAAATTATGTCGAAAAGCAGGCATGTCAATCAATGGGACAGATTGGGTAAGCTATAAATCCACACACTCATGGTTAGCTGATCTTTGATAAGGGATCAAAAGCACACAAGAAATAGGGCTGGGAAAACTGGATTTACACATGCAGAAAAGTGAAATTGGTTCCTTATATTGCCCTATATTAAAAAAAAAATCCAGCCAAAATGAAGCAAAGATAAAACCTGTAGATGAATGAAAACATTGGGGAAAATCTCCATGATGCAGTAAAGAGACATTCTACAGAATGGGAGAGAACATTTGCAAACCATGCATCTTTACTGTCATAGTACATTGACATCAAAGTCTGTACCTTTTCTCTCTGTTTCCTTTGCTCTCGTGGGTATTAACCCAACTTACTCCCTGGAAGCCCAGTCTGTCAGTCAGCTCTTCTACTAACCAAGAGGACAGCTGAGATAATAGATAACTTGCAAAATGCTATGCAGAATATCTTGACATTGAGGAGGTTAAAGAAACCTTAATCCTGCTATCTGTGACTCTTACTTCAGTGATAAATGAACAAACCAAAAAAAAAAAATTAACAGCAAGGAAAAAAAAAATAAGTCATATCAAAATAAGGCCTGATATTGGTTCTGACATCAGTACAAAAATATTTTGAAGATTGCCATATTAGGACCAAGGTTGAGAAGTAGTGGGCAAAGTGTTCAAAATAAATATTTTTGAGTTGTAGTCCTTAACATTTATGGAAATCCTTGTGGAAAGAATCAATGTTCAGCCAGGTGTGGTGGTGCACACCTGTAATCCCAAGCACAAGAGAGGCTGAGACAGGAAAATCACAAGTGTGAGGATCGTCTGGGTCATTTAGTGAGACCTTGTCTCAAAACAGGAAAAAGTGCTGAGAATGTAACTCAGTAGTAAAGCACTCCTGGGTTCAACCCCTAATACCAAAAAGAAGGGAAGTGGGGTGGGGAAGAAAGAAAGAAAAAAGAAGGAGGAGTGGGAGAGAGAGCAGGGGAGGGGGGAGGAAAGGGGAGGAAGGAGGAGGAGGAAGAGGAGGGGGTGGAATGGAGGAAGAGAGGAGAGGGTAAAGACAGGAGGGGAGAGGAGAGTAGAGAGAAAAACTATAGAATGGGAGATAATATTTACAAACCATCCATCTTTACTGACATTGTATATTGACCCCTTTATCTCTGTTTTCTATGCTTCCATAGCTTTTGAGAGAGAAGGGAGCACAGAAAGGGGCTCGAATTAAAAGAATTGAAAACAATCTATAAGGACCCTTCCATCTCATGATCAGGAAGACAGTGAATTTGATGGACAATGATATTCTTATAAATAGCAATAATGATTTATTAATTCTGATGCCGCCAAAGCCTAAGACTGCTCATATGAGACCTTCCACATGAATTTTCTACACTGGAGAGACTGACTGGTGTAGAGTTAGTATATTAATATATGCTGAAGACCGGAGGAGTGAGATTCTTCTTATCATTTTAGTTATTATAATTAGTAGACATCACATTTACTCATTGAAGACCATATTTCCTTTGGAACTCTTCTTAGATTTAGTGATCAGAATGCAAGTTTTGTGGAATAGATACAAGATCATAGTCAGTAATTACCTAGCTCTGGGACCAGACATAGTTGAGTTTCTGTCCTGAATTCCTAATAGTTAGCTCTGCATATTTGATTTAATTATTGAAATTCTGTTTTTTTTCTGTTTCTTATTTGAAAACAAAGACAGAGRTTAATATTTATTTCATGAGATTGTTGTGATAATATATGGGAGAACGCATCACAATTCTTTAGCACAGACTCGAATATTGTCAAGAAACTTCAGTTCTTATGAATATTAATAAGCATTAGGACTAGAAATGATCTTAAGTGATCATCTGATCCAGTTGTTCCTAAATATTACCCAACATCAGAATTTTCTTTGGAGATTTTCAGAAAGGTGAATGTTTGGGCTTCACCTTTAAGTATTTTTATTTTTATTTATTTTTTAATGATTTTTTTAAAAAGAAATGACAACATTACAATTCTTATTACATGTATACAGCACAATTTTCCATATCTCTGGTTGTATATAAAGTATTTTGACACCCAATTCTGGTCTTCATGTACTTTGGATGATGATCACATTCCACCATCCTTGCTAATCCCCTGCCCCCTCCTTTTCCCTCCCACCCCTCTGCCCTATCTAGAGTTCATCTATTCCTCCCATGCTCCCCCTCCCTACCCCACTATGAGATCTTTTCTGTCATAAATTCTGATGATCAATCAGATTGGGAACTCACTGATTTAATCCGAGAACATAAATACAGAATAGGAAACTGAAGGCCAGAAGATTAAGTACATAATCCAAAATGGCACAATTTAGTGGCAGAAAGGGTATAAATTGTGTTCCTTGAACACAGTGGTTTGAAAGTGTTTCTATGGTCCACAATCATCTGGGATCTGGGAACTCTACAGTGGAAAAAAAAAACAAAAAACATTGACTCCCAGGACGCACTGAGAACTTATTGGTTTTGTAGAAATTATTACTGAGAAAAAAAATCATATAATTTAGTTTCTGAACATCAAGTAGATTAAGTGAGATCATATGTTTATYGTAAGTAAATGCAGTAGAGATGAGGTTAAGCCCCATCTTTTTTCATCAAATTCATGGATAACCTTAGGCAAAGGTAACTAAACTTTTTTGAGTTTTATTTTACTCATATAAATAATGACGATTATTCAGTGTATTTTAAATTCTCAGAGTTTTCACACAGATGGAAATATTTTAATAAGTCATGTGAACTACAGAGAAATAGACTATTTATGTCATTAATTTTTGTGAAACTCCTTCAGACCTAAAATTGCGTAGCACATCATGTAAGCGATCAGTATACAGTTGCTGGATTGAACTTGTGGATTAAATAAGGTCAAAGTGAAGAAACTTTTCTCTCGTGTCAAGAAACTTTATGTGGGACGCTGAGTGATGGGGATTCATTGCTGGAAAGACAAAAGGGAAATGTTAACAGAAGCAATTTTCAGCTCCACTCTGTCTGTGGTGTCTTTTCTATTCTGCACCCTGATCCACCCTGATCTCACCAGCATGTGGAATGACAGACAGGAAGGGCAGGTCTCCAGCTGGCAGAGCATGAGGAAGAGGCCGACTTGTGCTATAAAACACGAGGACCCACAGATAGTCCTTCAGCTACCCTAAGCCTGGTGTGCATTGCTGTAGACAGACTGTGGAGCTGCCACCCATGACCTGGGGGTGGCAGTTTATGGTTTTTATTAATAATACGAGAACAGGTCCCTGTGGATTATAGAAAGAGCATAACCATGAGCAAGACAAGGCAGAGCAAACTTCTGAACTTCCAGGAGACTTGTCACAGTCTCCAGGCTCTATCTCCCGGCCCTATCAGCTTTCTTCTGACTGCGTAAAAGCCTCCCGATAGCATCTTTCATGTCCTTGTTTCTCAGGCTGTAGATAATGGGGTTGAGGAAGGGGGCGAGGATAACAAAAGTGGCAGCGATTGTTGTGTCCCAGAACACTGAGTAGGTGGCTGAGAATCGCAAATACATGACAGCCACGCTGCCAAAAAATAGCAAGAACACAGCGAGGTGGGCGGCACAGGTGGAAAAGGCCTTGTGACGACCCTCAGCGGAGGGCATTGCCAGAATCACCACGATGATCCGGATGTAGGACAGGGCGATGACCAGGAAGGAGGCCAGGATCTCCACGGCATGGATGGCATCCACAATGACCACCAGGGAGGTATCTGTACAGGCCAAGCTTAGCACAGGTGTGAAGTCACAGAAGATCTGATGGATCTGGTTGGAACCACAGAAAGGGAGTGTAGCCATCCATGCAATCTCAGGGAGCACAAGGAGAAAGCCACAGAGACAGGATCCAGCTGTCAGTTGGATACAGAGTCTGGGGGTCATGATGGTTGGGTACCGGAGAGGATGGCAGATAGCTATGTACCTGTCAATGGCCATTGCTGTCAGGACACAGCCTTCTGTGATACCTAATGAGTGGAAGAAGTACATCTGCATGAGGCAGCCAGCCAGAGATATGGTTTTCTGCTCACTGACGAGGTTGGAGAGCATCTTGGGGATGGTGGTTGTGGTATACCAGATCTCCAGGAAGGAAAGGACGCTGATGAAGAAATACATGGGGGTACGCAGGGCAGTGTCCAACTGGACAACAATGACTATCACTAGGTTCCCAGTTATGATAAATACATAGACAATAAGTAAGGGAACAAAGAATAAGAGGCCACCTTCATGCAGATGTGGAAAAATGGAGAAGAGGAACTCTGTAACCATTGTTTGATTCTCACTGGTCATCCATTGTGTCATCTGTAAAGGGAAGACAAGAAATAAGGAAACTTTTAGAATTGGAACGTTGATTACACATTGTAAATTAGTACAACCACCATGGAGATCGGTACAGAGATTCTTCAAAAGGCTAGGAATGGAATCACCATATGATCCAGCTTTCTTCCCTTCTTGGTATTTACCCCAAAGAATTAAAGTCAGCATATGATAGCGATGCATGTATACCCATGATTTTTATAGCAGCACAATTCACAATAAGCAAGTTATGCAATGAGCCTAGTTTCCATAAGAGATGAATGGATATAGAAAATATGGTATGTTCACACGATACAGTTTTATCTAGCCATAAAAATAATGAAATTCTGTGATGTGCTGGTAAGCAGATGGAGCGCTATAGCATCATGTTAAGTAAAGTAAGCCAGTCTCAGAAAGTCAAAGTTGGTACGTTTTCTCTCATGTGTGGGAGCTAGATTAAAAAAGGGAAGTGAAACAGGGTAGGGGATGGATCTCACGGAAACAAAAAGGAGATCAGTAGAACAGAGGAAGGGAGGGGAGGAAGGGAGAGAAAGAGAAGGAGCTGGGGATTAAAATTGACCAAATTGTGTGCATTATGAATATGCTCCAGTGAATCCCACTATTATGTACAGTTATAATGCATCGAAAAATTATTAGAAAAGAAAAATCACTCCTTTTTGTTATCTGTTACTTAAAGCTGATAATGGGATACTTTATGTTAAAATAAAAAGTAAAAGAGGCTGGGGATGTGGCTCAGTGTGAAGTGACCCTGGGTTCAACTCCTAGCACTGGAAACATATACTTATTTGTATATGTGTGTGTATATTAAGAAAAAAATTTAAATTAACATACATAATCAGGAGCCCTTCTCCCAATAGTTCTCTATTCCCTTTGCCCATCTTTCCCAGCCCTGATCTGTAGCCTCAGTCTGGCTGAAGTGCTCATCTTTAACCCTCTGTCTGCCTTTTCTCCTTGGTTTCATATTAGCATGTCTGTTTATCATCACATGGTAAGTATCCGACATAAGGAAATTCCTTCTCACATTCTCTGCTTTCTCTGTGACTTTCCCTTCTCCTCCTCTGTCACTGGTTGTTGTGATAATTGCTCCAGTCAGGAATCTCTTCTCCAGAATCACCCTGCACCTGACTGTGGCCTTTCTGGATAGACACTGAACTCTACCCTGAACATCCCATCCTTCCTTCAAAAGCCATACCTAAGAACAAAAGAATGCAAACCATTCTGAATTAAAAAACCTCATTTCTAGCACCACAATGGCTGTCACAGGGAGGAAAAAGTGTCACAAAAATCATTTTTAATGGAAACCAGAGTAGCATCTGCTTCTGGGGAGAAAGAACGATTAAACTTTTTGCAAGGCTAACTTGAGTTAGTGACCTCAGTAAGCACTGCCTTGTACCTTGACTATTTTAACATCTTTTCACTGGTATTCTTACCTCAAAGGAATCATTCTTCAAATATATTTTCCCAAAAAGGAGTTTTCATGCCTATTTTTTAAAAAATATTTAATAATAAAACTCAGAACTCGTATCCTGATAATCTCTAATGTGGTTCCAATTAAATTCAGAAACAAATATCCTTCTACRTACTTCATGACTTGACTAAATAGGACCAAGATCCTGCATTTCAGTTTTTGCTGATGTCATTAATTTCTTCTATTTTCTTGTGATCTCCTTCTGTTGGAATCCTGGCTGCCAATATCCACTAAATATTTTCATCATCATGGAAGTCTTACTCAGATCCTCTGCCAGGAGTGATAATTCTCACGGCTAATCTTAATAGTGCTTTAATTTTTTCTCTTTTATTACATTTAATATTTCCTTATTTGAATTTCAAACATTCATATGCCATCATTATCTCATCCAAGTAAACTGAAAACTCTTTAAGGGAGTTTTTATACAGGAGAAATGAACTAAGAGTTCCCATGGAATGGTCATGATGCTAGGGTCTTTATATATTTTACTTAAATATTTTATCTAAGTTATTTCTATCTATGGCAGAGAGTATTACTATTGTGTTACAGATAAGGAAACTGGAAACTAGAGAGAAGTAATTTGTCCAAATTCACATAACTAGGATTCAAATCAAAAACTTAGAAGACAGATCCATTTGTCTCAGAAGTCCACTACCATTTTTTATACCTTAGTGGTGAATACAGATCAGGATTTGTACACCATTCTCTTGGTTTCCAACTCTGAGTGCTTCTGTATGTTTAGGACTGTCTTAGGTATGAAGAGAGAGATGTTATGGTTTCTTCAAGAAGTCAAGAGCAAAGTCACAGAGTGCATTGTGAATTAGGGAAATTAATTTATAGAAAATACCTCTTGCCTATTCCTTCAAGTTTTGAGGAGGAAAGGTAGGAGAGACAAACTTTGAAAAGAAATAAGCAACAGTGCTCAGCAGAAGGGCAGAACTGCGAGTGGAATGGTGTTAGAGACTGGAAGTGTCTTCTGACTGAAATATTCACTTCTCTATACTGTCTGTCATTTTCTGAGCCCCAAACACCAGAGAATGGCCACATTGAGTAGTTATTACAGAAAGCATGAATGCACAGAGCAGAATGCTACAGAGCTATGGATAAGAGCTAAAAAGTCCAGTGCTAAATAGCTCATAAGTGACTAGTCTGCTTCTCTAAGCTTGGGTCCCTTCTCACTAGTAAAGTTGCATCTTTATTCATCATTCATACATTTATCCACCTAACACTCATATATATTGATTGATCCTTTGCTATGTGTCCATGACTAGCATAGGTTTAAGGGCTATGTAAAGGTCTATAAACATTATTCTTCCTTCTGAAACATATAAAGGACTTACAAGATTTTCTACAATGACAGATATTTAGCAGTCCCCAAGAAGCTCAGTCTCCAAATATTCCTTGTATAATGAAAAGAGACATGACTTAGAATTTAGTCATTAAAAAAAAATGCAGTAATTTTCTCTGTGAGTCCCCAGGCACTTATAACTTTTGGAAACTCCCTCAGAATTTCAGTGCTTAAAGAACTTAGATATCAGTATCCTTTTCTGTTAGCTGAACATATTTCGTGTTTCAGTATTCTAACTTTAATTACTCACTTAATAAAGTTTTGAAAATACGAGGGGTTACCCCATAGGGCAGCAGCCAGGACGTCAGGAAAGCCTTGGGCAGGCACAGTAGGGGTAGGCGCAGGTGAGAAGTCTTGGTTAGAGGCTGCTCTTTCAAGAACAGTCTGCAGCACTCACCCTGTCTGGGACCATGAGAATGCTCCGCAAAAGCTCTGCAACCACCTGTCCCTTCTAGTTTGTTGATGAGGATAATAGATGTCTCTGTAAGGACTATTAGATGTCTCTTCAAGGACTATTTAGAATGGAAAAATAATCTTTCCTGGAAGTTTCTCTTTAGATGATGCAATACCTAAAAGAAAAGGGTGCATCTCACTCTTCCCTCCAAGGGACACATTAGGAGAAAAGTGTCAGCAGTAATTGCGTATTCCCCAGGGTCAGGTTTCTAAAGCTTCCTGGGATACAAAGCCTTGTCTCTCATAGTTGAGTATTAAACTGAATGCCAGCACCCTGGGTCGCTGAGGAGTTCAAAGCAGACTTCAGACAKGTCTTGCTTCTCTGGAATGCACACCAGTAAATGCATTGCTTCCCTCTGTTTTTCACTATGATTTCCATTCCCACTGATAGTGTATACACACACACACACACACATAAAATATATTATATAAAAATATATTTTTAGAAGTTTTTAAACCCATTTCATTTGATCCCTTAAAAATCTTTTTGTATCCTTAAAAATCATTAACATGGTATGTTTTCTGTTATACTTAACAATTAAAAAATATTTGTATGAGYTATGTATTCAATAAAGAGTTATTCTCATTTTAGTAATGAAGGCTTCTGTTTAGATGTGAAGAGTAAAAGAACAAAATATTCTGAAAAAATTCTAAATTCCAAAAAGTTAAATGGTGCATTAAAAATATTTCAAAGTACAGATCCTCAATCAAATTTGTTAAAAAATGTTTATTTGGTTAGGATTCAAGATCAATTAATACTATTCACCATGTTATCTGATTAAAGGCAAAACTGTACAGTTGTATTAATAAATAGAGAGAAAATATTTCATGTACTTTAGCCTCTATTTGTGCTTTAAAAGAAAAAAAATCTTTATATACTAGGAAAAGGCAAAAATTACTTGTAATAGTAAGAAGTCAAATATTTAAAAAGTTATAAATCATACTTATTGCTCCCTTTAAAATAAATAAGACAAGAATGTTCTACCACAAAAACTAAAAATAAAATACAGATTTTCTTGGAAATAATAAAACACAAATAAAATACACAGCATTAATATTATAAGAAAGAAATAGCATTATTTAAAGATGGTATGAAATTCTACATAGACTCTTCCAGAAGAATATAAAAATAAATTTTAAGAGATTTAGCAAGTAGATCGATACAAACCAATATATTTAATATTACAACTACAATATGCCTCTAGTCAATAGAAATTATAATAAAGAGAGTACCACTTGAAATATAAACAAAGCATTGAACTAAAACCTAAATAAATTGATAGATGCTATTTTAATGAGCAGAATGTCTCAGTAACATCAATATGCCAATCATACAAATCTATAACTTTAGTGGGTTTTCCAGTTGTATATCAAAGGTCATTATAAAGTGATATTATAAAATACCAGTTGGAGAAAATTAGTCAATGTATATGAAGAAATAAACTGATGGGACATGAAATTTGACCTATGGTAGAAGAGATAGAGCAGAACACCAGGAAAAGACGGTCATAGGTGAAACAATAGGTCTATAGGGAAAGAGAGCAGGCARGGTTGTAATGGTCAATTTGAATTGTTAACTTGATTGGATTAAGAGATGCTGAGGATTATGGGTGTGTTGATAAGGGTGTGTCTAGGAATGATTGGCATGTGTGATACCCAACTGAAATGGAGACCCTACCCTCCCTAACTGTGAGCAGCACTGTCCAATAGGATGAT